GTAAATCATTTGCAGTTTCAGACAAGATAACAGTATCATCTGCATAAAATGATATAAACAGTTTGATAAAAACGGTAAGATCATCTTCAATCTCTTAAGACAAACTTTCTAAGTCGTAAACATTCCTTTCTGTAAGATAATTTTCTAAGTCATTGAAATACAGAGAAAATAAAAAAGGTGATAGATTTTCACCTTGCCTGACCCCGACATTGCAGGTGAAATATTCAGAAGAAACACACCATCCACATTTATTCTTGATTTTATGCCTGCATACATATTTCTAATGTAAGTGAAACACTTCCCACTAACACCATTTGAAAATAATTTGTACCAAAGACCACCTCTCCACACAGTATCAAAAGCCTGTTTAAAGTCGATGAACGCACAATATAACTTTTGTTTTGCTATTTATATGTGCTTGTGACAGAAAATGCAAAATCAATATATTATCTAAAGTAGAGTACCCTTTTCTGAAACCTGTTTGACTTTCGTTAATCAGACTGACATTTTCTGCATAGATTTCTAATCGTTTTTCAAAATACTAGTGAAAAGTTTCCCAAGGCAGCTCAACAATGTGATCGGGCGATAGTTCTCGGGTTGTGTTGAGTCTCCTTTATTTTTATAAATAGGTTTACAATGCCTATAAGCCATTCTTCCGGTACTATCCCAGAGTTAAAAATTAGACTAAACAACTTCTCGTATAGAGACAGAAACAGTGAAATTGTGGTACTAATATGTTCATTAAGAATATGGTCACTTCCGGGAGATTTATTGTTATTTTAGGTCTTTTACGGCGGCCAAAATTTCATCTTGCGTAATTGGACAATCAAGGATTTCATTATATCTACTTTGTTCAGTGATGTTGATTGAATCAGTTTCCTCTAAATTGGCTTCATTAATATTTTTGAAAAAGGTATACAGATTATTTAAATCAGCTGTGCATTTGTTATTTTTATTTTGACTATTTAATATTTTCCAGTATTCCAGCATCAACAGCATTCATTAAATTAAAAAAGAAATTCTGAAGTAACCATATCATCTGCGTGGGCGTAGGCACTTATCGTTCCCGGCGACAATGTACACGTATATTTTTGTTGTCGGCGACAATATATGCATTGAGGGTAGGTGCATATTTTGGCCGAAGACAATATGTACAGAACAATACGTACCGTCACAACTTTTTAATGCTCAACGACTAAAAACTACCTTTATATTATACCTAAGAAAAATTAAAAATTGGACATTATTTATTGATTTATTAATTATGTTATATATAAAATGTAACTTTTAATGCAATAGATTGATTTAGTTTTTACATGTATCTTTCAATTTAAATTCATATATGCACTTTAATGTATTTTAATTGTTAAATCAATATTCCTGTGACCTATTTATACACTTTTAAGTAGTTCTGCAACTATCATTTGCGAGATGATTATATAATAATCCTAATAATGATTAATTAACATGAATTTATTTTCTTTATGCAAAATCAGTATGAAAAATATATATTTTAATAATTAATCTGGATTACTGACACATCTGTGCTGTTGTATCATTGCTGCCTCGTAAGAAAAAAATACAAAACTTACAAAGACTGATCTTTCGAAAGCATAAGTATCTTTTCCTTTACAGTGTACACAATGTTTGTGTCCTTTTGGCTGTTTTTGACTGCAGCGTGCATTGAAGGTAAGTTCAAGATAGAATACATAGATGTAGAAAATACATAGACACATTAAATCAGTACCATGTTTATACATTAAGAAAATCACATGTGGATGAAAATAGTATCATAAAATATCTTATCTTTACCAGTGTGCTCTTTCGTTTGGAATTTTTACACGAAAACCAAAGCAAATCAGCAAGGATACCAAATTAACAACCTACCTTTTCCACAAAATATCTTACAAAAAGTAGGTCACAAAAAGCTTACATTTCTGTTACACTAGAAAATATTTTGATTAATCCTTTAGAAAAACAAGATGTGTTTGCGAAACACTGATGCCCCCGTATGGCAACTTATAGCGGAGGTTAAACTTTCTCAAATGCAAATCAAATATGTTGGTACCCAAAGTAAGTTCTTGTCCCGAGGAATATACATGTGAAATATGAAAGCCCTAGCTGCAACCATTTAAAAGATATGTAAAAGGTAAAAAATTTTCAAAGGTAAGTAAAACATCAAGGTCAAGGTCATATGGTCAAAATTAATGGTGCCCAAGGAAAGGCCTTCTCACAAGAAATACACAGGTAAAATATGAAAGCCCTAGCACCAACCGTTCAAAAGATATGGCCAAGTTTAAAGTTTATCAAAAGTAGGTCAAACTCCAAGGTCAAAAGGTCAAAGTTGTTGGTATCCAAAGTAAGGTCTTGTCACAAGGATTACATATGTGAAATGTGAGAGCCATAGCACCAACCGTTCAAAAGTTATGGCCAAGGTTAAAGTTTTCCAAAAGTAGGTCAAACTCCAAGGTCAAGGTGAAAGGGTCAAAGTTGTTGGCATCCAAAGGAATGCCTTGTCACAAGGATTACATATGTGAAGTGTGAAAGCCATAGCACCAACCGTTCAAAAGTTATGGCCAAGGTTAAAGTTTTTCAAATGTAGGTCAAACTCCTAGGTCAAGGTCAAAGGGTCAAAGTTGTTGGTATCCAAAGGAAGGTCTTGTCACAAGGATTACACATGTGAAGTATCAAAGCCCTAGCACCAACTGTTCAAAAGTTATGGCCAAGTGTAAAGTTGGGTAAAATTCTGTAAAACTGGGTCAAACTCCAAGGTCAAAAGGTCAAATATGATGGTACCCAAAGAAAGGTCTTGTCACAAGGTATACACATGTGAAATATGAAAGCCATAGCTCCAACCATATCAAAAGTTATGGGCAATGTTAAAGTTTTTGTGGATAAACAGACAAACAGACAGACGGATGGACATGGCAAAAACTATATACCCCCGAATCTTCGATACGGGGGCATAAAAATAATTTCATATTAAACAAAGAAATTATTGAGTTATCAAATTTTGATCTTGGTCGCAAGATTTTTTGCGAATAGGAATACAGATCACGCAAGGACCTCCCTAAGTAAAGCCTGCATAGCCAGGCACGTGCATGCAGAAATCAATTTCATTTAAATGGGAAAGAATTGCATAAACGAACAGAATTTACTTGACAAGGGAACAAAAAATAAATAAAATAGAAGTACAGAATGTATTTCTGAAACTTTTCAAACATTTAAAGAAAAAAATCAATGAATTACCTAAGTAAGTCCTTTTTAACATAGTTAACATTTGTTCAAAGTGAACCATATTAATTTTTCTTTATTCATGTATTTACTTTATAAATCATTCGAGCATATAGAAAAATTAAGTATATAAATGCCGAAAGCATTGCAATTTTAATAGTCATAATTTCAAGCGAACGGCTGTGTTACAAGGTGTGTGACGGTACACATTAACGTTCTGTACATATTGTCGTCAGCGACAGTATGTACCTACCCTCACTGCACATATTGTCGTCCAATGGTATACATACATGTATTGTCGCCGGCAACAATATGTGTCGAGACGAGCCTTTTTATGCCCCTGGATCGAAAGATCCCTGGGTATATTGTTTTTGTCCTCTTTGTCTGTTTGTTGTCAACTTTAACCTAGCCCATAACTATTGCGCTGTCAAGGGTAAAGCTTTAATATTTGACATGAGTGTTCATTATGACAAGACCTTTCCATTGATAAAGAAATTTTTGATTATGTGACCTCAACTGTGACCTTTGACCTACATTTGAAAAACTTTAACATTGGCCATAACTATTGCACTGTAGTCTATGTCCCACTCCAGAATTGTGTTACCATCGGGGGCATAGTGTTTCACAAACACATCTTGTTTTTTTCATTTGCATAATGGACGACAAAATGTACAGTCACGCATCGGCACATATTGTCGTAGGCGACACATCGCTCATCTGAGCACATTGCTATCAGTTCAGTATTGAAATGTTTACAGGAGATGGGGAGGGGGGCAGCAGACTTGAATTTTACTATACCTGAGGATGCTTCCATACGAGTATAACTAATGGCTTTGCTGAAAGGATAAGAGACAGTCGCCACACCATATCCCTTGGGGATCATGATTTAAACAAACATGAATTTATACTACATGAAGATGTTTCCATGTTAATATGACTCAACTTGGCTTTTCTGTTCTTGAGAAAAAGATTTTTTGATTTTTTCCCCCCTATATATTTGATCCCCCATTGTGGCCCCACCTTACCCACAGGGGTTATCATTTGAACAAACTTGAATCTTCACTACCTGAGGGTCGCCCGCGTGGTGCAGTGGTTAGAGCGTTCGCTCTAGGGTCGCAGAGTGAGTTAATCCTTACGTCGCGGGTTTGAATCCCACTGAAGGACGTAGAGCCCAATCCTTTGGATAAGACCATATAAACCGAGGTCCCATTTCGCAGTAGGTGCTGGCACGAAAAAGATCCCTCACTGCTAAATGGCCCTCAGTGCCGAGTTTAGGTCAAAATTTGCTACTCTCCACCATCAAGTGGTGGCATCTCCATATGAGTGAAAAATTCTCGAGAGGGACGTTAAACAATAAACAAACAAAAAACACTATACCTAAGGATGCTTCCACATCAATATGACTCATCCTGTCTTTGCTGTTCTTGAGAAGATTTTTAGAGATATTTTCTTAAATATTCCCATGGAAAACTTTGATCCCCCATCGTGGTCCCACACTACCCCCGGTAGTGATTTGTGATGAATGAGCCACTAATAGCACAAATTCCTTATTGTGCTAATTAGTCCAAACCTAAATTGAATGAAATTTGAAAACCCTCGAATAAGTACAGGTACAGTTGTATGATTATTCTTAGAAGTTGGTCAATAGAAGAAACACGCTTTGATCCAGCTTGTTTTCTTGTGCAAGAATTATTTGTCATTACTGAATCGGAGTCTAGTTCTCAGGGTTGATTCCACAATACCTGTTTGGGAATGAAAATTGCAACATGATACAAGGTAAATGTTGATTACCAATCTGATCGGAAGCAGTTAATTATCATTTTGGTTAGCAGTTAATTATCATTTTGGTGAGCAGATAATTATCATTTCAGGGCGGCTTTACATTCAGGGGGATCATTTTTATTATAACGGCCAGAGGGTATTCTTCAGTGGAGTAAACCAGGCATGGGTGTCTTACGGTTATGACTGGGGAAATAACCAATATCAGTACAGACGAAGTAAGTTCCAGTCTGTGATCAATGCAGTCAAGAACAATGGTGGAAACTCAATTCGTAAGTTATTCTGTATTACTGTGCCAAAAACGATTGTAGTTTGACTGATCATTGTATAGGAATAATTCAGAAAACGGCTGTTATCTTTGCTGTAACAGTGGTGTTTCACTTTGCTTTTTATTGCATTATCACTTTTCTTTTAGAAGTTCTCTGATGACCAAAGCACTACTTTAGCAAAACATAGTTACCATTTTAAAAGATATAATAATTATATTACCTTATGAGGTATTTTTCCTGTCTTAAAAAAGCATACCTGAACATCTGTATTTCTACAAGGTTTTTGTTCTTTTAAAGGTGTTTGGGTTCACGTAGAAGGACAGACATCTCCGGAATTTGATCACACAGGTCACGTGAGTGGAACAGACTCCAGCAATTCCTTGATCAATGAACTGAAAGAATATTTGCAGTACGCTAGGAACCACCAGATTTTTGTCTTTCTCTGTTTGTGGAATGGCGCAGAAAGAGGCAGCACAAACGTCCGTTTGGAGGGTATAACATTTCCCTTTTCTTCGGTGTTTATATTTAGAATCGGAACATTATAGATTAGAGATGTCTATGACATACAATGTATAAGCTATAACTCAGAGGAGTACAAGAAAGGCTGTAGAATCCATAAGAAAGAAAGTCCTGATTATATTGTGTTTCATTCGCAACTTTTTGAACCAGACCCTTATAACTTTGAAAAGTAGAGCGAGGCTGATAGACATGATATGATTTGAAGTATAATATGTGAAAATCAAGAACGGTAACATAATTATTATTATCTGTTCTAACGAAACCAATACTTCCTACATGTAACTGAGGTTTTCGTTGTACAAAGGATTAATAAAGGACACTGGCAAACTCCGCAGCTATATCAACCATGCTCTCATCCCAATGGTGAAGGCTCTGAAAGACCAACCTGCATTAGCTGGCTGGGACATAATCAATGAAATGGAAGGCGTCATCAATCCTAATTTACACAATTCTGAACAGTGCATTGATACCACCTTCTTAGGTCCTTCTGGAGCGGGATGGAAAGGTCACATCTATTCAGCAGAACAACTTCTACGGTATGAGTTTTATCTTTATTTTTGGTGGAGGTTCTCGTAAGTTTCCACTTTATCTCGATCGCCTTACTTTTAAGCAGTCTCTAATTCCGTGTATACAACATGTACAATGGAATATTAATCATTCTTGTAGATTTATAAACTGGCAAGCCGCTGCTATACGTAAGACAGACCCACAAGCCTTGGTGACAGCTGGATCGTGGAACCCAAAAAGCAACACAAACATGAATGGAATGAAGAACCTCTATAGTGACCATTGTCTCATCAGAGCCGGACATGATAATGCAGTAAGTACAAAATAAACCGCAAATTACTGTACGTGTACATAAACATTTTAGCGCAACCACTGGGTATTGAGTGGTTGGCGTAATCATGCATTAATTAGTCTGTGAAATATGTCAGACATATGTCTGTGTCGTATATTGTATTTATCAATGATTTACTAACAGCAACCATGGATTAGCGCATTATTGTCCACGCCAAAGCTGCTAAAATATGAAGCCCGCTTTTTAAGTACACATACAGTATGTCGACAAGCTTAAAAATTTAGCTGGGCAAGCAGGAGAATCCCCTATTTCCTTTTAAGCAAGACTTTGGCATATATGTTACTGTAAGGTAAAATAAAATTTTATTAACTTCTTTATAAACAGGGTACTTTGAATTTTTATTCTACGCACACGTATGACGACAAAAATACTCATCAATACGATCCTTACTCGCCCTTCAAAGTAAGTTGATTGATATGTTTAGACTTTCATAAAATTTGAAATACACCGTATTCGAGTTACTGTCATTTTAAGTAGAATTCTGGATTTATTTAAAACTGAATCATGCCTTTTCAATAACACTATTATTTGGTTTATCTGAAAACGTTCTTTCCCATTTTAGCACACGAAGAATCAATACAATTTAAATAAACCTTTGATAATCGCCGAGTTTAACCAGGTGCGAGGAGGACATCAAACTATTGAACAATTGTTTACATACGCATTTTACCATGGTTACGCTGGAGCATGGTCTTGGCACGCAAACGCGGACGGAAGCGATACTGACACCTTAGCAACACAGGAAGCAGGAATGAGGTCTCTCAAAGGGAAAAATGACCAAAGAAACGGCGGACTAGTCAACTTTACGATTTAGACAATTTATAGTTTTTTGTTCAAATAAATAAAGAACTGTACCAACTAGGATGCTTTATTAACAAAAAATATTTTTTTTAAGTCTTGATCAACAAAGCTATACTAGGCACGATGTAGGTAATCGTCTGTCAAATGATATTTGTATTCTTGTGTGATTTATTAAGAACAATTATAAAATACGCATACATTTCTTCAAAGGAAAATGATATATCAGCAGATTGAAAATAGGCTTTTGTTCGTTGACTACCAATATGATATACTGGCAACAGAATTAATGATCCTCCTGACAAATTCTAAAGCAGCTGATTTACACACGTAGAAAATACACCATTAACAACGTTATATTCAATATCAAAAGAATATAGTTCATTTCTTAAATATCTTTCAAAGCTGGTGTTGAATAAAGGATGTATATGTGGAAGCTGTTCTCTAACATATGTAGATGCCTTTGGTTGTTCTTTTTCCCTCTCCATTAAATGATCAAAGTAAGTTCCAAATTGTGAAGAAAAGAAGAGTAAACAGCGGTAGAAAATGAATATAACTTGTGGTCAGTTCTGAAAATAAGCATTGTAGAAGCTTGAATATTTCATTTCTTTTTAAAAGTGAATCTTTACATCCATTCTTTTCCTTGTATTTAGAGAAGTTATATTGCTCATATGTCATTTTCTTTCTAAAACTATACATTTTCATCTTTTTACAATTTAATTTCGAAACTTTGAAAACGATTAACTTTGAAATATACCAGCAGCGTCGTTGTGACAGTCGGTTGCATTAAATGAACAGCTTGCCCACGTGGCTGATTCGTCACTTCCATCGTCACAGTCAGATTGACAGTCACACTTCATTGACATCTGAATACAAGTCATACCTCCAGATTCACACGTAAACCACCCCGTTGGGCATGTCTACAAACAATAAGGTATGAACTAAATTAGAACTGCAAAATTTCCCCTACTCGGGTATGTCGAAGAATATGCGGACAAAGCACTTCCAAATCTCCATTTACATATTCTTTACGATGTACCCAAGTTAAACTTAACATCAACCATTATTATACTGACTTGTACATAAGTGCCCTGAGCGACAGTTGGACATGCTGTGGGATTACAAGCCTGAAACTCCGTCGGGTCTCCCGGACACATGTTGCCTCCATTACTTGGGACTGGGTTGTTACAGTCCCTATTTCTAGTTCTGGTACCTGATCCACATGTCTTTGTACAGGGACTCCACACACTCCATGAGCTCCATCCACCATCCTCTATGTAATTAACAGTATACTGTTTAGTACATTTGACAAGCACGATTTAATGACAGCATTGGGTGGTTGGTTTTTTTTAAATCTAAGATCAACTTCTGACATTCCACATACAATCGTGTCAGTTATAATAAAATTCAAATGTTAAGGAAAGAATTAAATGATAAACTGAAGAAAAGTTCCTACTTGCACAGCTTCCAGTGCATGCTTGTGTTTCTTTGGTGTCTCCGAGACATGTCTTTCCTCCATATTGAGGCTGTGGATTGGTGCAGGTGCGAGTTCGTTCTGACTGGCCAGCGCCACAGACATACAAACAACTGCTAAAGGCCGTCCAGGGTGTCCAGTTTCCATCAACTGAAATTGGAAATAATAATTCTTGCAATTTTTTAAAAAGAATCATTTATTTTTACAAGATGCGTCTGAAAAATTTGATTCGGTAATAAATGAATTAAAACCTATTTTGCATTCTTTATTACTTTTTAAAGTTAATTTTTCATATACTCTATTATATGTAAAAAAAAAAAAATAGTTATGCAGCTAGTAAGCATCAGTCTACTTTCTAACGATCGATCAATAAAAGAAGTCTCCTTATCTCCTTACCTGGACAGCTGTGAGTGTTGCAGGATTGCGACTTCGTACCATCCCCGGAACAGGGAGTGCCGCCATTAGCTGCGGCTGGATCTGTACATGTTCTTGTTCGGCTCTGGGTTCCAGTTCCACAAGTCACAGAACAGGAAGCCCAAGAACCCCACAGAGCCCAATTTCCATTTACTAACAAGGAAAAAGCCCCATTTCAAATATAGAAATTTTAATGATTTCAAGTAAAATTAAAACGAAGTTCACGTGATATTGATAATAAAAGACTAACAATGAATTAATCAAAATTCCAGTAGGTTTTTTTTTTTTTACAAAAAAATTATATAATCTTTTTAGTTGTAAATAATGAATCAGTATTAAATAATTCAATACCTTAAACAACTAAAACCAAAAAAATCAAACCAAATTTTAGAGAGACAAAACGACGAAATTGCATCGAAATTGCATCTTACAAACACATCCATTTTGTGGAGTACATGTAGTGTCTGTTTCCACATCCGCTCCAGGGCAAACTTTTCCGTCATATTGTGGAGCCGGATTGTCGCATTTGCGCCTGCGTGTACGTGATCCTCTTCCTCCACCCGTGCACGCACAGGGACCCCAGGTCTCCCAGGAAGTCCATACACCATCAACTAAAATGTATGTATTTGTATATCAATGCAAAAAACTATATGTCGCCTTTTAGTTACTCGAAGTCGAATCAATGTATGTTTAACTCACTTGGATATGGTTTAGCACAATCTTCTTCTGCCGAACCATCTCCATCGTCATCTGAAGTCAAAATAATTATTTAATACATTTGTAATACCGTAGGGCTCAGTTTCAGGATGGTTTATTTTGTGTATTTTTGTTTTTCTATGTCTGTCTAATTAAACTGATTATAATAAAAAATGATGAAATTCGCAGTATAAAAAAATCGTATTTCAATGTACATAAAACAATAGAAAAGGGATGACACTCGCCATCTTGGATTCCAGGGGGTCCTCGGTTCACTTTTGATTTTATTCAGTATCTACACTTTTCCTACCGGGTCCAGCGAGATCAAGCTTCAAAAGTGATTGAATAACTCCCTTCTATCGTCTGCCAATTTGCACTTGCACTCTTGAAAGTCCAAAGAGAACAAGTTTGGCGTAGACTTTCCGTGCAGTTCTGGAACTTTACATAGTTATAAACTATCCTTTCCGTTGCTTTCAAATTTCAGTGCTAGGTATGACCGTATCGAGGACGTTTTGGTTCATTGCAAGTTTTATATGGCGAGTGAAAATTGGCACTTGATGTGATGTGCAGAATGATTATATCAATGAAATCTGTGAATATTGCATTTAAGCAAGTTTCCACTCCATAAATACAATATTCAAAATTGAACAGTATTTGCCCTCTTTCTTAAAAGTAACGGAAAATCCAAATAATTTCTGAGGTCACAGAGACTAGAAATGCCAATAATCCTTTCAATCTAGAATATATTTTCTATACAATTGTGCACATTTCAAGAGATTTCAAAAATTTGACTTTTAAGGGGGCAGAAATATACCTTTATCGCACCGGTATATGGTTCTTTATTTTAATATCGTTGTAAAAATTTTGTTTACCAGCATAGTTATTAGCCAGAGTACACATTTCTTCGTCTATTTTGCCGTCACAGTCATTGTCTATTCCATCCCCAACGACCATCGTTGTCATCGTGCACGGCTAAAAATAAAAATTTAAATTTTCTAAACACTGCTTGAAAAAGTGAATACGTTTAAGTTATTCAATTCTAAAACAGTTTGATAAAAAAAAATTGCCCAAAAATTGAAAAGGTAGCCAATTTAATTCAGGATAAATGCGTTTTGCATTGATTCTGAGAAGAAAACCATAAAGTCCTCGTGTAGCTCACTGTGTTTATTGATGCCATCCTCATGCCGGAGGGAAACCCGTAGGATTCATATTGCGCTCTCCCGTATAACACTCCCATAAACACAACATTTGGCGAAATGTGACGAATTTCGTGAGTCCCATCCGACAAAGCTATGTATCCTCCTACATACTGCCCTCCCGGGTAATTGTTGTATGTTGGTGATACCGCAGAACCATCGACTCGAATCCCCGATTTTTCAGAGGCCTTTACTACGAACATGAAGTAATTCGAATACGACCCAGTTGATTTTTTCGGAGTCGTGAAAACGTAGTCTGACGCATACTGTTCAATAGGCGGAATAATAATCATTGCAGGATCCGCCACATTACAGGAAGAACAAGCCTGACTTTTAGAAAACTGCATTACGTATATCGGCTTCGTTGCAGTGATTAAGGAATAAAACTTGGAACTGTACTCCTTTTGCACCCAAGCACTTGCCGTGGACAACGTGAAAGTTTCTGTAAAGGAAGCACCGTTATTCAAACCGTTGACGGTGACTCTGGTATCATATTCGCTGGCTACAAATCGGAAATAGTCGCCGATGGTTTGACCAGGAATTGGCACAGTGGCAAATGTCTTTCCCCATTTTTCCACTGGAACATGTTGTTCAACTATATGGTCACGTGTTCCTGTGGCAATTTTTGTCAGTATATTTCCACTATAGACGGAAATGACTTTATTTGCTGTGATCTTGCTGCCACTTAAATCCCCAGGTGCCTGTATTTGCCATGTATAGTACGAATGTAGCGTTGTCGTAAGTTTATCGTTCTTGTAGTAATTTCGATTTCCGTAAGTCACATTTAATCCCGTGTTAGGACCAAACTGTACAGTTACCGAAGTAGAATCATGAACACCCACGACTAATATCTCTGTATTTCTGTCGGAGGGCCAATATGTGACCACGTAATAGGTCATACCCAAAACGTCTGTAGGAAGCCCAAGGAAGCCGTCGTTCGAGTTCGTTTCCTTATTGATTCCATAGACCATTATTTCGTCGGATCCGGTTATTCGAATTCCCTTAGTGCTCTTTCCTGATCCCGTCATTCTCAGTGCATTGTTGACCAATACCTGTTTCACCGTGCCAACAGTAACCGTAAATGATTCGCTGATGGAAGGGCTGCTCCATCTCGGTGACGTAACAGATACGCTGACCGGAAGTGATTTGTACGTCGTAACAAAGATTTCGAGATTGAAGTTGGAAGCATAATTCTCCATGAAACCAATGACAAAATTTGTTCCTCGGTTATCTGGCACACCTAAATTTATACGACATACAAATGTTTTTATAATGAGAAAGAAGTTTTACTGCAAGATTGAAAAATACATTCATTATATAAAGATGTTCAGGTCCGTAGCAACATTTTCAAAAAAAAAAGGGGGGGTTCAACTTCCCAAAAAAATTGACAAGCAAAAAAATAAATAAATAAATAATAAAAATAAAAACAAAACCTTAACTGATCAAAATGAGGGGGGGGGGGCAACAAAATAATGTGACAAGCAAAAATAAATAAATGAATAAAATGTCCAAATTCCGGAATTTGCCAGTGCTCGGCCTCACGGCGACAAAATAAGGGGAGAACCAGCATCTGAAGGAACATTTACTTTAGCAAAATTCTATACTCGGAAAAAAGTGGAGGGGCGTTCTTCGCGTTCTACAGGCCTGAAGTCAAATTATTCAAACGAACATTTATAGATTCTCTCTCTCTCTCAAATGCATGTTTCTGTATTAGTTAAGTGTAAAATGTCACAGCTAATAAGATCTTTAAGTCCATAATATTGTGGTTTAAACCTATTATGCCAAGATTAATAATTACTTGCAAATCATTGCTCATAAAATTTAAATCTACAGACAAATAGTACAACATTATGATTTTAAAATTAGACTACTGTATGGGTTTTTCAAACATGTTATGTATTTGTATTTTAATCTATATAGTCGTACAAAATTAATTATTTTAATTTATATCATATTATTATAATACAAAACAGGACATCAAACTTTAATGTAAATCCTATATACATTTTTTTAACAATATGTGCGATTGTCTCATACTTTCATAGATGAATCAAGTCTCACCGATAACATTTTCTAGACCTTCATCTTTCCTAACGTAAAATATTTTTTATTAGATATTGATAAGAGAGAGACGAAATATTCTCACCAATTACGCCAGGCAAGACAGACGCCACCACAACGATCCAAAAAAGTATCATTGCTAGGGGGTCTCTTCTGAAAATTATGAGAAAAAAATATCACAAACATCAGCATATTAGATATTTCTTTTTGTAAAAGCATTCAGGAACTTCAGGATTGATCATATATAGCACAACAACTCAAATGAAATTAAAATATATATATATATATATATATATATAACTTGTTCCGGGAACTGTGCATTTAGATACAGTACCTACAAGCAAGTTTTCTAATAATCTTATGTTGAAGTCATTGTGCTCATAATCGTTGCTTAATCAATTTAAATTAAGTCCAAAAATGTATGCATATATATACATGACATGTACATGTGTAATTTACAGTAATACATTGTACTTTATTTTACTAACCAACATAGAAAGTATTAGGGCTGGAAAAAAAAATGAAATTATCATTAACATTTTTAAAAGAAAAAAATAAATAACAGCTTATGAATATCACTCTTAACGAAGAAGCAATGATACATATTATATTCTGCAGAACATTTTTTTTTTTGGATGACATACATTTTTTATGTAGTATATAATTAAACATGAATAAGATATGTTTCTCTACGCGAAGCAGAAATGTCTTTTACGTGCCTTTAATTGATTTATCTCTTTATTTTCTCGCCTCTGGTTGAAATGGAAAATGAAATGCAATAAATCTAACTTTAGTTATGTATAACCGAGAAAATGTCTGACATTTGGTTGGCCATGTAATACTTTCGCCTACATAAAACACAAACTTTGACGATTTTAACAAAATCCGCAATTTTTTTTTCAAATTTTCAGTAACAAAAAACCGTTTTCGAGGATATATTGTGTTTATTTATAGCAGATATTGAGAGGAAAAAATCTAAAGTCAAATGCAGTGAATACGTATTTAATCACCCGACACTGATATTTCTAGCGGAATTAAATTTTCTTTTAAGTGTGTAATTTTACCAACTTTAAATCTTTAAAAAAAAAATCTTCAAAATATTGTTCAGGCACTATGGAAAATTACGACCGCTAAATTCTTTTAGGTATATTGTTCAATTCATGTGAAAAAAGTTTTATATAGATATAATTAAATTTTAAAAAATATATATATTCATCAATTTCAAAAACTTTTACCACTTTTTTGTTCTATATCTCTTGATTAGCATCTTTACTTACCCGACACTGAGTACCTGTACACGATTCTTCGTGGATTAAATAAAATTAAAGTTTGGCCGGATTTCTAAAAACTAATCCAGGTCAGTCACATAATTTACCATTACAAAAGATTAAAATGGATTACCCTGTTGACCTAATGCACATTAGCTTACTCGTAATGAACTAAATTAAGACATAATGTACAAGTAAATTTAATAACATATTACATGTACAAATAAGTTTTCAATAATTTTATGCCCTCGTAATCGAATATTCGGGGCGTATAATTTTCGCTCTGTTCGTTTAAACTTTAACCGTGCCCATAAATTTTGATCGGTTGGAGCTAGAGCTTTCATATTTCACATGACTATTCCCTATGACAAGATCTTTCTTTGGGTACCAACACATTTTACTTTTTAACTTTGAAGTTTTATCCACTTTTGCAAAATTATACCAAACTTTAACCTTCGCCATAACTTTTGAACGTTTGGGGCTAGGGCTTTCATATTTTACATCTCAATTTTGTGAGAAACCTTACCTCTTGGGTACCAACATCATTGAGACCTTTTGACCTTGACGTTTTACCTACTTTTGAAAGATTTTAAGCTTGGCCACAACTTTTAAACAGTTGGTGCTATAGAGCTTTCATATTTCACACGTATATTCCTTGTGACAAGACCTTCCCTTCGGTACCAACAATTTTGACCTTTTGACCTTGGAATTTGATCTACTTTGAAAAACTTTAAAACCATTGGCCATAATCTTTAAACGGTGTGTGCTAGGGCTTTCATATTTCACAAGTGTATTTCAATACCAAGTACCAATATTTTTTACCGCATGACCTCGACCTTGGAGTTTGACATGCATTTGAGAAACATTGTATGAGCTGCTATACCGGGGCATCAGTGTTTCACAAACACATCTTGTTTTAAATATAAACAAACTTTATGTTTCCAGATTATAAAAACAAACAAACAACCCCGCCTCTGAGTGGTCTAAATTGGCAGCCCAGTGTCCGTCTCAAGAAAAAAGAAGGAGAGATTTGTAGGGCCAACATCACTGTCTGTAAAAAAAGACAAGTTATAGAAGCATTGTCGACAAACCAAAATCAACCTCTTCTGAAAAAAGAATGGTCTTGAAAAAATACATGAAGAGGGCAAATGAGAGGTAACAGTGAAAGCCGAAAGGACATTGCAAGGTCGAGTATCTTTCTGCCACCATGGAAAATATGCGGATAGCTGCTTTGGAACATCAGAACATTGTACGAAACTGGGAGAACTCCCAAATATCAAGAGAGCTTTAAAGAAACTAAATAATCAAATCTGAAAGGATGGCTGCAGACAAGCCAACTGAATTTAACATGAGGAGAAAGCTTAAGGCTGTTGTATACTGGACATACAGAAGAATGTGTCTACCACATGGATAGCATGGCCTTTATGCTTTATCCCAGATGCTTATCATGCGCCCATCGGCTGAGAACCTGTCAGTGCACATTATCACAGCAAAGTTTGCAACCAAGAATAAAAAATTAAACTAAATGTCATTCCACCAACAAAGCAGAGGATTGATTGATTGTGGATAGTTTTACGTCCTATTCCACCGTTCACGGTAGCTCAGGTGGCATAGGATAATTTTTTGGCAATCAAAACGTTTGACTGACGGTTTCCTTAATATTGAGCTGCTTTTAAAATGTGCATTGGAAAATTTTAAATTCTCTCTACATGTAATAATAGTATGGTCCAGTCCCTTGAGGAATTTGAACTTTTTAGGAATAAAACATGTACAACTTACACAATAAGCCCTAATGATGGCACAGGGACAATCTCAAAATTTCATGTAAATTAAGCCTATTTCCACAATTTCGCCGGATCCGCAACTGATTCCAGGCCCGTGCTATTGCCCTAAGCTACCACACAAATTGCAGACCGACACTTGTACATACCATTGAACAGCAAGAGATAATGGTCAACCACCTCGTTTTCAAGCTACAATTCACCCTATGAACCCACCCCGCTTTTCTAGTGAAATACCGGAAGAGTGATTTTTGATCTTAGTTTCGTATTTCTAGTCCATATCCCATAAACAATAGTAGTGACACTAAAGTGTCATATATCAATAAAATATACCAGGCCACCTATTCCCTCCAAATGCACACATAAAATATTCTAGCAATAAAATTACCTATAATATACATTCAAACCTTAGGTTCCTCTATTTTTTTGTCTAATTTTTGACGTCACTTAATCCGAAACTATCCTCCGCCACCTCAGTCGGTAGAGCGCTCGCTCCGTGATCGGGAGGTCGTGATTTGAATCTCGGCCGCGACTGACCTAAGTCGATAAAAAATGGGTAGCAACTGTCCCTTCGCCATGCGCTCGGCACTTTGAAGTGAAAGTTGCGGGTCCTTCAGATGAGACATTAAAAACCGAGTCACCGTGTCACGGCAGGCGTTGGCACGATAAAGATCACTCACTGCTCAATGGCCCTGAGTGAAGAGTAAAGGTCAAAATTTGAAGCCCTTCACTGGTATATGGTGACGTCTCTTTATGAGAGAAAAATCCTTGAATGGGACGTAAAACAACACACAATGACTCAACGTCCTATTCGAGAATTTTTCATTCATATACAGACGTCACCATATACCGGTGAAGGGCTTTCAATTTAGACCTATACTCGGCACTTGGGGCCATTGAGCAATGAGGGTTCTTTATCTTACCAACGCCTATCATGACAGGGGACCTCAGTTTTTGAGGTATCATCAGGAAAACCCGTGTCTTTTACTTCCACTGCCGGGCGCTTGGCAAAGGAACAGTCACTCTTAGGTTTAGGTTTGACGCGGTACGGCGAACGAGAATCGAACCTCCTGATTAAGAAGCGAACGCCCTACCTCTAGGCTACCGACCGTGACCGGT